GTAGTAGTAGGTTCTTATTAACTTTTTTATTTATTTTTTGTCGGGTTTTGTGCTAATATTTTATATTCAAGAGTTCTGCCGTGTATAATGAATTTTAATTTGACATTCTTGTGAGCGGAAAAATTAAAGATTTAGAAGAAAGAAGACTTCAGTTGGTAAGTATATATTTTTTATTTTACAAGTATAAGTTTAAGCTCCCGCCTCACTGTTATCATTATGATGAGCAGGCTAGGTAGTATCTATTTAATTTAAAGGGCTTGGCTAGGGACTTGGGGACAGGGGGTTGGGCCATGCCATTATATAGGTGTGGACAATGGTATGTCCACACTCCCTTGCAAAATTATTTAAAGCAGCACTGCCGTGGTCGAATCCCGTTTTTTTTTAACCACCCTCCCTCCTTCACTACATCTAACTGACCCCCTAGTCACCCCCAAATGCCCCTAAGCCCCCCAGATTACCTATTTTTAATCTTTATTTTCTGCCCCGATCTATACTCAGGGCGCCGCCATCTTTGTGTGGGTAGAGGAAGTCCCTGTGGGACACGTCATCTGCCAACAATAGATAGCACTGAGATTCCCGCACATGCCCAGTTAAACACTTGGACATGTGAACGGGAATTTCATCTATTCATTCATTTCGTCTGAAAGACGAATGAATGAATAGAAATATCAGACGAACAAACAAACACCAAATATCAGTGTTCGTTTGTTCATTCAGTTTATTACAAGGAAGGAGCTACTGGTGCGCAGCTCCCTCCTTGTAATATGTAAAGATAGAAGCGGCAGGGAGCTATGCTCCCCGCCACTTTCTAAGCCTCCCATGTCTCCCCTCACTCTATGGGGGTCAATATATATTAAAATCTCCCAAATGCCCCTACTCGCTATACCGCGAGAAGGGGCATGTCTACTAAACAGTGAGCAGTCTGTGGCTGCTCACTGTTTAAAAAAAAAAAGCCTACTATCCGGCCCCCACCCCTGCGCGGCGGGTGTTGGCCCTAAATAACAATAAGGAGGGGGGACCTACTGTCCTACCCCCTTGCCCCCACCCCTGTGCGGCGGGTGGGGGCCCTAAAAAACAATAAGTGGGGGACCTACTGTCCTCCCCCCTGGTTCCCACCCCTGCGCAGCAGGTGGGGGCCCTAAAAAACAATAAGGGGACAATGACTTAGTGTCCTCCCCCTGAGGGGTGGGTGGGAGCCCTAAAAAACAATAAGGGGGGGGACCTTATGCCCCCCCCGGCCCCCACCCCTGAGCGGTGGGTGGGGGTCCTAAATAGAAATGAGGGGGGGGACCTACTGTCCTCCCCCCTCGCCCCCCACCCCTGAGCGGCGGATGGGGTCCCTAAATTAAAATTCACCCCCCCAATCAAGGTAACTAGGGGTCCCAAGCCCCTAGTCTAACAACCCCCCCAAATAAAACTATCCCCTAACTACCCCCTTCACCCTAAAAATAGTGAGGGGGAAATAAAATAACTAACCTGTAATGAAAAATTAAACTTACCATTTGACGTCTTCTTTTTTCTAAAATCTTCATTTTTCAGCCCCAAAAAAGGCCAAATAAAAAGCCATCATACCCGTCAAACTTAAAATAAAATAAAAAACCCGAGCGCCCAAAAAAAAAAGCATGACGAAAAAGAAAAAACCTGACGCTAAAAAAATTAATCCATCTTCACCCATGGAGGGCTCCACGCAGACTGAGCTCTGCAGGGCGGGGGAAGGCTTATAAAGCCTTGCCCCGACCTGCAATTAAGAACACTCTGATTGGTTGGTTTAAGCCAATCAGAGTGCTCTGTGTCATTTTACACAGCATGGGAAAATTCCAAAGAACTTTTCCACGCTGTGTAAAATTACACAGACCACTCTGATTGGATGGCTTGAAATCTAACCAATCATAGTGCTTTGTGTCATTTTACACAACGTGGGAAAGTTCTTTGGAATTTTCCCATGCTGTGTAAAATGACACAGAGCACTATGAATGGTTAGATTTCAAGCCATCCAATCAGAGTGCTCTGTGTCATTTTACACAGCATGGGAAAAGTTCATTGGAATTTTCCCACGCTGTGTAAAAGGACACAGAGCACTTTGATTGGTTAGATTTCAAGCCATCCAATCAGAGTGCTCTGTGTCATTTTACACAGCATGGGAAAATTCCAAAGAACTTTCCACAGGCCGCTCACTGTTTAACAGACATGCCCCTACTCGCGGTATGGCGAGTAGGGGCTGAATTTACTAATACTAATTGATCTTTAGTTAGTGTCAGTAAATGTGACTGAAAGATCAATTTAGGTCTTTCAGCCTTTTAGTAGATAACTCCCTGATACCGTGGAAATTTGGGAGTTATCTACTAAGCAGCTGCAAGATGCAGTCGCGGCAATGAATAGGACCGGAGTTTCATTACTTTCAAATGAAATTCCGATACGAACTAAGTCCCGAATTGCGTTCTAACATGAATGGAGAAACTGTTAGAATGCAATTCAGCAGTTTTGCCGGCGTCCTAAGTGACAGGAAGCATCGAGGGAACAGGGAGGAAAGTTATGGATTGTGGGACAATTGCTGTGCCCACCGGAAACGAAGCACACTTTGCTCCTTCGCTGGTCACCGCTGGTCACTGCATAGGAAACCTCCATAAGAGAAATAGTCCCTACTTTTTCTAAAGTTTTAAAGAAAACTAGAGCAAACAGGAAGAAATGAAGAACAGATCCTGAGAGAGGGAGAGAAGAGGAATCGATTGGGGAAAGGTAAGTTCGGCATGACCGTGCCGCTTTAAAGCCACTACTTGCCACCCCTGTGTGGTGACTGGGTTGGGGACACTAGGTTTCCCTTTTATAATTATTAGAGCTTACAATGAATGTGGGCTGACGTTAGGTTCAATCCATTTAGTAAGTGGTCCCACCCACTTGCCACTGGTGAGGGCATAAGGATTTACCTTTCATTTTTAAATAAATTGTAATACCCCCCCACCTGTTAATCACAGTTATATTGACCCCCAAAGGCTCTTTTTAATTTTTCTATTTTTTTTTTTTAGCTATTTAAAGGGACACTATAGTCACCAGAACAACTACATGTTATTGAATTTGTTCTGGTGAATAGAATCATTACCTTCAGGCTTTTTGCTGTAAACACTGTCTTTTCAGAGAAAATGCAGCGTTTACATTACAGCCTATTGATAACTTCACTGGCCACTCCTCAGATAGCTGTTAGAGATCCTTCCTGGGTCATGGCTGCCTAAAATGCATCCAAACATTCCGTATCTCTTCCCTCTGCATGCAGACACTGAACTTCCCTCATAGAGATTCATTGATTCAATTCATCTATATGAGGAGATGCTGATTGGCCAGGGCTGTATTTGAATCATGCTGGCTCTGCCCCTGATCTGCCTCCTTGTTAGTCTCAGCCAATCCTATGGGGAAGCAATGTGATTGGATCAGACTATCACTTCTGATGATGTCAGCAAACTGCTTGTTTTTCTGAGGCAAACAGCATGCAGAGTTACAGCTTCATGCTTGAATACAGTAAGATTTTGCTATATTTATGGAGGCATGAGGGGCCAGGGGACTAGATGGTGGTTTTAACACTATAGGGTCAGGAATACATGTTTGTGTTCCTGCCCCTATAGTGATCTTTTAATGTGGCAGCTGGATAGCAAGCACTGGCTAGCCACCACATAGCTAGACCTCACATTGCCTAGGGTTATTAAACGGTTTGCCTGCTAGCAGGAAAATTGTTCAGATTTTTAAAATTCAAGCCCAGAATTGAAGCATACGGCCCTAATTTTAACAATCCAGGTCTGCTATTCAGCCATCTGTCTGAAATCGGGACCAAATTCAGACTTATTTAACTGTAGCGCAAAATCTAGACAGTAGTATAAACAATGTACAAATTTTTCAGTCCGAATTGTTCCATTCGCAATTGGATGATTTTGCCCAATCCAATATGCATCCATTCAGAGTTTAGTGCATAACCCTAAGAGAGCGTTTGGTCGCTCTCATTAAACTTTTATGAAGCTTGGAGGATGGATTCACTAGATTGTGTATAATGTGTACGTATCGAATTTAAATAGTTTTCTATAGTAAACTATCACAACCAAATAGTTTTGCAAGTGATGTGCATATAGCTTTCACTGCACGTCAAAACAGATCATCTCTTTAAACATGTAGCGTTCCAACAGCAAAGCCACCACACCTTCTCCATACAATAATCACTACCTTCTCCGTATCTCTGCTGCTTTGCCTGCCAACATAAAATATATCTCTCACATGGATATCACTACTGTTTGTGAGCAATGCATGTATTTGGCTGTTAGACATGGCAGATAAATTTGTGCCTTGCTATTTATCTCTCACCTGGCTTTCTATAGCCTCACCCTAAGGCGTAGTCTTGGCATCTCCAACAATACCACGTATTGTTGCAACTGAGATCCTGACCTCTCTGCTTATCCCCACCCTGACTCTGCAAACAAAGCAAGAATTTCAGTGATCTGGAGCAAAACTGGGAAAGAAAGGACCAGTCCAATGTTTTTTTTTTTTTTTTTTTAATGAATCTAGAATTAACTTATTCTGCACCAATACAAATTTAATATCAATATTTAATTACCAGGAATAATACATAAGGCTTTTGAGGAATATAATGTATAATGCATTGACTGGGCACGGCAATTGCTGTGCATGTCCAGTAGCTATGAAAAGTATTAGATCAGACCAGAGATCAAGCAGATAAATGGTATCAGAAAAGACTGTCCTGAGTCCACAATCCAACCCATCAACAATTAATGTTAGATCGGGTGATTTACTAAAGTGAGAACTCTCAGTGAATTAATAGTGAATTTCAAATTTAAGACCAACTTAGCCAAGATAAAAACATAGCTTTATGCTATTTTGAAATTTACTTTGAATTCACTATAAATTCTCACTTTAGTGAAAACCCTTGAAAGTGTTCCTTTAATGAAAATAAAAAACACTTCTAAAGAATAAAAATTGTAAATGTTAGAATTAGCAATTGAAATGTGCATGCTGATCATAATAAAAAAAAAATATTAGTGATGTGGTAATTATATTAATATTCCTTATTTGTATCCTTCAGGCTAGATGAAGCCAACCTTTACTTGTTGTGTGATCACCTGTCCTGGACTGGCCACTTAGCCCATCAGGTAATTGCTCAGTGGAGTTTAAAGGGACACTAAAGTCAAACATTCAAACAGCAATGTTTACTTTGAAGGGTTACACTGGCTTTCGCTGCAACGACTGAGCAAAACATGGTCATATGAAATTGTAGCCCCCAACCATTGATTCAGGTCTTCAGTGCTCCTCTACAAAAAGTATTGAAATGGACCATGTTGGAGGAGACCATGCCTCCTCCATGACATCGTGGAAGAAGAAGAGGTAGGCAGAGCTGAGTATTTTTTAATAGCTGTATTTTTTAATTGCCGTGGCCCCCCAGGTATACTGGTGAGCTGAGGCTTCAGCTCCCAATGTATTTAATTGAAATAGAGACAAGACGACCCTGGACCAATACTGGACCTCAGCTACTGCCCACATACTGGAAGCTAGCGTGTATATAAATATACACTGAAAGCCAGGAGCTCATTAAAATATTGCTGTGTGCTGTGTGTGATCACAGAGTATCAGTGCAACAAGAAGCATTACATATATATATATATATATATATATTGTGGACTGAGAGGCAGCTGGTTTTAAATATTTAGTAGATATTCCCCCCTTATAGGAATATGGAGGTCTTATTGTCCCTCATAGGTTTATTTATTTACTTTAATGTGACAGCTGGCTAGCAAGCTCTGGCCAGCCGCTACGTATTTAACCACATATTTGCATTGCAGAGGGGTTTAATCTATTGGCCACCTGGTTGCTAACACTGCCAGCAGACAATTAGCTTGGATTTTTTAAAATCTGGGCTCCGATTTGAAGTATTTGTGTCTGGCTCTAAGTCAATCTGAAATCTAGACCTAATTCATTCTGAGCCTGAATTGCAAAACCCAGACATTGTTGAATAAAGTCCGAATGACTCCGCATTGTGGGGTTGTTCTTAGAAATTTTAGGTGGCTTACAAATAACAATTAATGAAACTAAAATGTTATTTGGAGCAAGAACAATGTATCTTGTTTACAAAGACTGATTTCTAAACATATTATTGTAGGTTAAAGACAAATTACTGAAAACATTCTTGCTCTGTTAATCACTCAGACACACCAACAATATTTAGCTCACTTCTAAGCAGGGGCACTTGGGAGGTATGCAGAGAGCAGGGACATGGTCTGTATATAAAATTGCATTAAGATGAAGTGGCTTTGTTACTTAGAGTGTCCTCTTACACATAATTAATACTAGTGTTTCCCAATGGAGTACTGGTGTTTCCCAACTGAGTCTTTTAGGCACACCAGCAGTGCATGTTTTCTCACTACACTCATTCAAAAAGAATTAGGAAATGCCTAATTCTGGATTGTCGGTATTCTTTGAAAACCGGGTTGGGAATCATTGTTCTATTGAATATATTTGATGTAAAACCTGACATAATCTCTTGATTTATATGTTTTTTAAATATACATTTTGTTTTTGTTTTTGCTCAACCTGTTCTTTCTTGTAACTCTTCTAATTTGTCAATCAGTAAAGACAATTATTGATAATCTGCCAGAGGCATGTTAGTACATGGAATGTCTTACTACTTTAAGTCAAGTATTCTCAGGTAATCTGCACCTCTCTACTGGATGTGACAACATATTATGGAAGAATGTGTGGATTTAAAACATACTCGTGTTAATATACTGGCAACATAGTGATTTGGCAAGACAGCCAATATCTACTGCAGCTTGATCTCCAGATGTTGAGTGATCACAATAGCAATTATTAGAATATTAACAAAACTAATATAAGCAAACCCTAGCTTTTTCAATGCTGGTAGAATTCAACCAAATCAACTTTGAAAGTACAAAGAAAAGATACCAGCCAGTTATTTGCATATCATACAGTACGAAATCCCACTTGCAATGGCAGGACCGCGTTATTCACCTGTAACCATCAAGGGACATAATAGCCAAGTAACACAAACATGTGACAAAGTAACACAATATAAACATGAAGTAGCAATGAGTTTCCACTTGCCCGATTGAATGCTTATCAAAACAAAGATTAGTTTCTTCAAATTATGACTTTATAGGTCTTATTTGCCAATATTAAAAAAAATATATATATATATATTTTTTTTTTGCGAATAAACATTTTATTAAACATGATACAAAGGAAGCAATATAGACAGTGAAAACACTGAACACAAGATAACACCACTATTATATGTGACGCAATATTAGCTATGTTCTGTACAAAGCCAAAGTCAAATAACCAGAATTACCAGAATAAATAATGCGCTCTCGGACAACCACAAGGGAAACCAAGACAGGGCACTGAGCAGGATGAGAACTGGGCCTAAATACCCCTCCTCTGGCCTTTGACCCCAAAGTCAGTTACCAGGTTTCCATTTGCATAATTGCTGCTCAGCATTAACCCTTCTGTGGATTAGGTTGCTGCTCGGCACAACTTTTCCTGTGTGGACAGTAAATGTCATTAACCACATTTTTATAAGTTGATGAATACTTGACAGTGTGTCTGTGTGTGTGTCTGTGTGTGTGTCTGTATGTATGTGTCTGTATGTATGTGTCTGTGTGTATGTCTGTGTGTGTGTCTCTGTATGTGTGTCAGCGTCTATGTATGTGTGTCTGTGTGTGTCTATGTATGTGTCTGTATCTGTATCTGTCTGTGTATGTGTCTGTATGTATCTGTGTGTGCTTGTCTGTATGCATGTGTGTCTGTGTCTGTGTGTATCTCTGTGTGTGTCTGTATGGGGTGGCAGCGGCGGTATGGATCAGTTTTGCACCGGGGCCCCATGGATTGTGTGTACGACACTGCCTGACATTAACTTGAGTTGACCCATCCCCTTTGCAGGTGGGTCAGCCAACCTGGGGGCAGAGCTAGTGGCTAGATTGCATCACTGGACTGCCTCCTTTCTGTCTTTTCTTCCAGTGTCCCTAATTCTCAAGAACGCTAGAGTTGGAAGTCATGGACACCTACTAACTAACCTGATTTCTTATCTTATATTTTTTTCTTTGTGTCAATATGCAAAATGTCAATGGAAAGAAAAGTGGGCTCTATAATTCAGGCTTTGTAAGTGAATAACCCTTGGTAATAGGTATTTTAATTGGGGTTAGAACTTTGCCTGCAGATATATATCAAAACGTGAACTAAAACTTACGTAGTTTAAAACTTGTTTTGATTAGTTATATTTAAAAGAAAGATATATCTATGGGTATCACACAGTGAAAAAGGGGTTGGGGAGGGGAGGTACTATTGTGCAGATTCTATATAATTGATAGACCCTAAAAGAAAAAGAAAAGATAAAAGGAAATATATATATATATTCCTATATTCTAGTTTACAACTATTATCCTGTCAATCAGCCAAATAAATGGTAGAGATTAGCAACAAATGTGTCTCTACTAAAGGTGCTTCAAAATTGGAAGCAGACTACTAGTACCTATTAGATGCCCAATAAGGCACAGCTAAGTCCATTAACTAACTACAATTATTAATCTCATCTGCTTCCAATTTCAAAGCACCCTTAGTAATAGCTCCATAACGTTCAGGATAACACCTTATGGACTTTAAGATATATTTTTCCTGCTGATACTCTAGTTTAAACAGCCCTTTTCAGTCATTACCTCTTTTTGTTTGTTTTTTTTCCTTCCTACATTTTACATGTTTTTGGCTGATTGACAGGATAATAGTTGTAAACTAGACTATATATATATATATATATATATATATATATATATATATATATATATATATATATATCTTTTCCTTTCATCTTTTCTTTTTCCTTTAGGGTCTATCAATTATATAGAATCTGCACAATAGTACCTCCCCTCCCTTTTTTCACTGTGTAATACTTATAGATATATCTTTCTTTTAAATATAACTAATAAAAACAAGTTTTAAACTACATAAGTTTTAGTTCACTTTTTGATATACATCTGCAGGCAAAGTTCTAAACTCAATTAAAATGCAAAATTTCAATAAAGCATATTAAATAATAAAAAAGTAACAGTGCCATATACCAAAGTGAACACAGATAAGTCTATATTCATGGCAAGATTGCAACAAGTGAAAGCAAAACTGGCTAGGGCTATGATCGCTTTAAAAATGTATCTTGAAGAAATAGACAATTAGGCAACATCACCTAAAAAAGGGAAACTGAACTCCTGATTTTGAGGGGAGAGGCACCAACAATCATTCTCAGGAAAGAAAATGGCAGCTATATGCTTTATTTCATTATTATGGTTATTGGTGTCTTAATGGGACTGTGTTTTTAAAACTGTTCTTAAATTCATATTTGGAAATCATTTTACAAGATTTGCACAGCTCTGGAAATCTAGCCTTCATAATGCAATTTCCTGCTTGGCTCATAATTGACAGACATATTGTGGCGGATTATTTAATGATCTCCAGTTTTCAATGAGTTGTTAATTTTGTTTTTATTAAAGCATGGGTGGTCTTTCAAGATGTTTCACATTCGGAGAGAGCTTTGTCAACAGGCAGAACTGCTGACAAAGCACTATCTCAGCGAGAAACACATCCAGAAGATCCTTCACCCAATTTATAAACATGGTGTTAATGTTGACAAATGATGAACGCTTAATAAAAGAAGTTTTTTTTTGTTTTGGTTTTTTAATTGTGTTTTTTTTAACATACAGCATGTGCAACATTACATCTTTCAATAAGCCATATGAGTATTAGCACAGTAAATGAACAAAACGTCTTAAACAACTTGTACTAGCATACCTATATTCTCAACTCTCTACGTGATGCTCTTCATTCTGACTTCCAACCCCTGCATTCAACCTAAACAGTTTTAAATAAGATGACTGACTAATGACCTTATCACAGCAAAATCCAAAGGTTAGTCCTCCATACTAATTCTTCTTGACCCCTCTGCTGTTTTGCTGATCACACTCTTCTTCTTCAAATTTTTTCCACCCTTGGTCTTCATGATACTGTCCTTTCTTGATTCTTGTATTACATCTCTTACCATACTTCAGCATCTCTTTTCTTGTAACACCTCTCCTCTCGAATTGTCACAGTTGGAGTACACCAAGGCACTGTACTTGCCCATTTCTATACTGCTGCTCTTGGTAAACAATTTTTAAAAATTTTCGATACCAGTACCACTTTTAAACCGATAACACGAAGATATACCTCTCCTTCCCTGATCTCTCTCCCACCCTTCTAGCATGTGCCTCTAGTTGTCTATTTTTGTCTCCAATGGCTATCTTCCTGCTTTCTAAAATTCTAATTATCTGCTGTTGCTCTCCCTGTGCCAGGACCATTGCCTGCTTACCTCAGTCTTTAGGCATTCTTCCTGACACTACACGCTTGCAGACAGCATGCTTTTCTGTGGGACCGAATTCGGGTCTGAATTCGAAGTTTGTTGAACCGAATTCTGAAATTGCTGGACCAAATTTGGCAGACAAATGTGGAGTGTCAATGTAGAAATGTCAAATATTTCCCATGAATCATATGCAATTTCAAATTAACGTGGACCAATGGGAATAAAGACCTGCCTGTATTAACTCACCTCTCCCACTCCTTATTGCTGAGTTATGGTTCGTGTTTGCGAAATAGCACGTTATTATAGTAGTATTCATTTCTGGTTATTATCCCGTGTCTGATTTATCCTTATTCCTGTCTTCTGTACTCCTGGGACCTCGGCTATCCTCTATGACTCTATTTACCTTTAACCCGGCCACTCTAAGAACCAGTATACAGAAAGTATATTTATTAGGATTTGGTCTGTGATTTTAGGTTCCTACTGATCCTTATGCCCTGTGATTTTAGGTTCCTACCGATCCTTATGCCCTGGCATATCCATCAGCTCATAGTTGTAAACTCACTGCCTTTATTATTGTCTTTGGTTACATCCTATATCTAGTCTGTCACCAAATACTGTTAATTTCAACTTAAAAATATTTCTCACAAAAGATTCTATGAAGGTTGCTTTTCTCTTATTTGACAGTCCACCCTGCCCCTCTACAGTCCTTAATAAATGTCGTGACTGGGTTTATATTACCAATTTCTTTGTCCCTTCCCACCACCTTAGCCAATTTGGACATTTGGCTTCCTGAACTCTACACAGTCCACTTAGTTCTTTCACTTTCCAGCTCCAATGCTTTCCACCACACTTGCCACATTGCCGTACCTCTTCCTCTACTTTGCCTCCTCTTGATTGTAAGCTCGTTTGAGCCAGAAAATAAACAAACTTTTGTTCCTGTTAACATTTTTAATAGTTTGTCTCTTATTTGTTGCTATATCCCCATATTAATATTGTTAGGCACTGCTGAATAAATTTGTGCTGTATAAATGCCAAATAATAATAATAATAATATAAAAAAAACAATAATGATAATATATATTAAAAAAAACATAATAATTATAATAATAAAAAAAAACAACTGTGTCCTATCTTAAGACAACCTAAATCACCCTCTCCTATATGCAATGATTTAGTAAGACAATATGACCATACTTTGTTAAGCACATCAATACATCAAAGTAACCCAGAACCCAGAATTAGTCGGTCTTAAAGGGGTACTTGATGTGGTCATTGTGCCTGGTGATTGAATGTGTAGCATTTCATTATGAAATGCTACAGATACAGAGTTTAATTCCTTTGCTGGTGGAGTTATAACCCCACCACAGTCAATGCCATTTGGCATTGCTAGCCAATCTAGGAACTTGAGTTCCAGGCTGGCTAATGTCAATTCCTTGCAAATTTCATGCGCATTATGCCATTTATTGGCTAAGGGTGGCAGGCACACGCTCTCAGCCGACTAATGGTAACTGGATTGGATTCCGGTTTCTGTAGAGCACATCACCAGTGCAAAAAGGAGCACTGGAGTCCGGTAGGCACCCAGTTAAGAAAGCAATCTGTTGCTAAACAGTTTTTC